GATCCGCTCAGTTTGAATACAATTCTCACAGGCGTCGAACAGCTGTTCGGCAATAAACGTTCCAATAGAAATTAATTTCAGTGTCCGATGCTCTCAATACCGTAAGGGTGTCCCCCAAGAGGCCCGTCGCGCGGCGAAGGAAGAGACGCAGACGCGGCAAAGGACGAGTCGCAGCGCATACTGTAGCGGTTAGGCGTCAGGTTAAATAGAGTGTACCATACTACGTCTCATATCGCACAGCACGCGCTGCGACTCGTCCTTTGCCGCATCTGCGTCTCTTCCTTCGCCGCGCGACGGGCCTCTTGGGGACACCCCTAACATTTCTGAGTATTAATTTGCCTAATGCTTAATCTTCGCTGTCATATTCCCTCTCAACGAGATGTTGCACTGTTCCTTGTATCGTCTGCTGCATTTCGACTGTCGGGTCGTCCGTTCATTTAAAACTATTTACCTATTTCCTATAGGCCAGTGTACTGTTTGGATAGCAAAGAACGAGTGTTGTGTGTTTTATGGATTTTTTAGAACATGTATATAAAATTTATTTTCTTCTTATGAATGAAAATTTTGACGCGTGAGAATTAAAATGCGTTTCTAATTTTTTATTCGATAGGTTCGATCCCAAGTCGTCGCCATTTGATCCAGCTGAGTCTGGCGATCAAATCTGAATGTTCTCGAAATCACGAGTTGGCCACTGATTACGGTAACTAGATGAAGTGATCACAGAAAATATATACAGCATGTAAAAGATAATTAGAAGGCACACCTATATTTACTGAAAATGAGTGAAAAATCAATAAGGTTGCTTTTCTAATTCGGCCGACGTCAGGATTATCTCGCTTTGATTTTGAAATTGCATGAAATACCTCAAATGAAGTGCACCATACTACGTCTCATATCGCACAGCACGCGCTGCGACTCGTCCTTTGCCGCGTCTGCGTCTCTTCCTTCGCCGCGCGATGGGCCTCTTGGGGGACACCCGAATTCCTCTAGTCACGAGCCATGCACGTCCGTCCCTTCATGCCTTCCACCGAAATTTACTCTTTCCCGACGAGATTACCATTTTGAACAAATGAGAAATATGAATGATGACAGTATCCATTTTAAGCATGCGGCGAGGGCAAGTAGTGGACTTTCACAGCGTGTGTGCGGCGCCGCTGTGGCGAACCGCGTACCCACAGTAGGCCTGTCGCGCCGCGAGAAGGCGGCGATGCAGATGGATCAACGGACGAGTAGCAGCGCGTATTGTGTGATGTTGGTCGTACGATACTAGATACCATTTAACTTGGTGCTATCGCTACAAAACGCGCTGCAATCTCGTCCGCTGAACCGCCTGCGTCTCGGCCTTCTCGCCGCGCGATGGGCTCCACACTGCGGTACCTGCTCTATCCTGCCATCCCCCGATAAAAGCATCGACCCCACAAGGCATCGATCGATGTTTACAAAATATCAACGCTCTATCAACTTTCACAGCAATCCGAATGAGACATAGGAAAAATTCATGAATTTGGACAGGGCTGACAATTATTATGGAACTCAAAATAGGATAGTGACGTTTTTCACCGCCAGCAAAGATCAGAACCCGGGTCTAAATCAGTCCGGGCTTACCACGACTTTCAACTTCCTCCTCCAAGTCGTTTAGCCAACACCACAGAAAAGCATTCATGAAATCAGTGTTTATAGAGCGATGCGACAATTTACCCTCGCCCCAGAGTTAAACGGATTCATACGCGCAAATGCCACCACATGTTTGAATAGAAGAAGAAATCGCATGGCGCATTCCAAGTATTCGGCTTATTATCGCTTCGAATTTGTAGATCGTCAGATACTCCACATGTGCTCACACATAACTTTCGGTTCACTCAAATGCTAGCATATCACAACGAAACCTCCAGTAATTGTAGAGAAGTGTCGTCAACTAAGTCTGTTCAAGTAATAACACTAGTTATCAGACTGCTGGTGCTGTTGTCATGCAGTAAAAGCAATGAATGACACCCTACCACTGGTGCTCCATGAGGGAGCATTGGGATGACTGCTACGCGACATAGCTACACATCGGCGAATATAGCGATGAGGATCCATGGGCGACCTGAAATTCAGAAAGTGATAAGAGCGTTGATATTTTGTAAACATCGATCGATGCCTTGTGGGGTCGATGCTTTTATCGGGGGATGGCAGGATAGAGCAGGTACCGCAGTGTGGAGCCCATCGCGCGGCGAGAAGGCCGAGACGCAGGCGGTTCAGCGGACGAGATTGCAGCGCGTTTTGTAGCGATAGCACCAAGTTAAATGGTATCTAGTATCGTACGACCAACATCACACAATACGCGCTGCTACTCGTCCGTTGATCCATCTGCATCGCCGCCTTCTCGCGGCGCGACAGGCCTACTGTGGGTACGCGGTTCGCCACAGCGGCGCCGCACACACGCTGTGAAAGTCCACTACTTGCCCTCGCCGCATGCTTAAAATGGATACTGTCATCATTCATATTTCTCATTTGTTCAAAATGGTAATCTCGTTGGAAAGAGTAAATTTCGGTGGAAGGCATGAAGGGACGGACGTGCATGGCTCGTGAACTAGAGGCATTCGGGAGTCCCCGAAGAGGCCCATCGCGCGACGAAGGACGAGACACAGACGCGGCAAAGGACGAGTCGCTGAGCGCGCTGTGCGATATGAGATGTAGTATGGTACACTTCATTTGAC